GCAATGAGAAGTCCTGCTTCAGAGGTGAAGCAAATGCTTTTAAACTGGGTTTAGCAGGTTTGAGTGAAGAGCGGATGGCTGAGAAAAGATCTCAAACTAATAAAGTGCTATGAATAAAAGCTTTAGAGCAGAGCTTGCAGATGCAACTCACCTTTGACTTGTCTCTTTCATTCTGGAGTTCAGTAGCTCTGTATTGCAGACAGTAAAGAAGATCAAGGAGTGAGTAGTCTTTAGAGCTATTTGCTCATCAGAAATGTGATTTTTTTTAAAAATTTTTTTTTTTTTTTGTTCGGTTGCCTTTGCAGATCAGGACTAATAAAAGATGCCCATTGACACTATTTGGCACACATTAATGATTGTATCTGGACCAATGAGGTGTTCCTTCATAGTCTAAGAAATTTTTTAAGCTCGAATGATAGGAGCCTGAAGTCTGCCACATACCATTCCTTTTCCACGGCTACCCCATGGTGCAAGTGCTTCGCTGTTGTCTAGAGGGGTTTTCTTGTTCTGCGTCTGAATTTATTCTTGGGCTGTAGTGTGTCTGTAGGGTTGGTAGGGAGGTGCTGGCTTGGAGCAAAGGATGGGTGTGCTAGCAGAACCTCCGTGGGAGGGTCCCCTACCCCAGCATCTGATGGAGGGTTTCCTGAGGGTCAAAACTTGGGGGACCTGGGACTGGGAGCTCAGACACTGTGACTCCTGCCCATACTGGTATGTGTCACCTACCCAACTGCGCTGCCTGTGGCTTCTGCTAGGTGCATTTCTGGGTCATTTGGAAATGGTTGATTTGGACTTGAGACCACCCCTCCGTCTGTCTGTGGGTCAGGGCCCCCAACTGTGGCTTTTGCTAATAAGTGGTACTGTGCAAGGAGGAGCTTAGCAAACGAGGAAAGGGTGGTTATTTCTCAACGTCTGCTGTTCTTCAGCAGTATTCCCTCTGCCTGTCCCCGCATTCCTCTGCTCCTCTGGGAAGTTCATTTCCCACCAGACTGTCAGGTGTAATTGAAGAAGGGTTGAGAACCACTTGGCCTCTTGCAGCTCTAGGTGCTTGCTGCGTTTGTGCGGTCCTGGCTGTCGCTGTGCTCTGTCTTTTAAGCCCAGCCAGGACCAGCCGGGGGAGGCATTGGACAAGTTCTCCACTGGAAGGTGACCTTTCTGTCAACAGCTGGGTGATTCCTGCTTGCACTGAGATTTTAGGGAAGTTGCTGTATGTCATAACTGCAATAAATGTAATTGTGCTTTGTTGGATGAATTTTAACTGTCAGAGTTTTGGGTTAAACTGCGTTTCTGAGGGTACTTACTCTGATGTATTTGTTAGAGATCTGGTTTTATAAGGGGAGGACATCCAAAGCAGGTAGCATTAACGTTGCTTTCCTTCATTGACAACAAAACGCATCATTGTTTTTTTGGGGGGGCTTGTTGGTGGTGTTTTGAGGAAGAGTTGTGTTTGGTCTTTCTCACTTTTATTGTTACTTATTTTTAATGCTTTTTAATGTACTTACAGCCATTTATTTTTGTCCCATACCTAGTTGCTCCTCAGGGAATCCTATATTCCTTCCGGTCTGTGCCCCCCGCCTTCTTAGCCCTTTTACTACTGTTTATTTGCTTGCTTTCTTCTGTTACCTGCAGTTCCGTTTAAATGAGTTTGGACTGCTAGAAATCATTACTGAAGTAGAAGCAGAAGCCATAAAAGCTCTTCCAGCCTCAGCAGTAAACGCCAGCCCAACCAGCTTTGCTCCTGCTGCTATCAATGCTTCCGCTGCCTCTAGTGCTGGCTTGGAAGGTGAGCTTTTTGCTGTGGAAGAGGATATAGAGTTTCTGAAAAAGCTTCTAGAAACAGGTCTAACTGAAATGTGTATTTCAGTAGCGTGGTGCACCCTGGCGCAGCGTGTGGAGTGAGTCACTGCATTATTTCACATATTTCAGGAGTATTTAGAGTGAATGTAATTACTGCGTAGCCATAGCGGTACCTGGCACACGCATTGTGCTCTCCTTTGTGGGAGGTAAGCGTGGCTATATAAACAATCTGGGCTAGATTTGTTGATGTAGTCAAACATCCCTCTCACGCTGAGTTTTAACTTACGTCCCGGGACCTCTTTAACTGGTGATTCTGGGAACTTGGAGCCCCTTCTTTCCAGGGTGGTGGATCAGCAATGACATCAACGTTTCTCCTTTACACCAGTGGTTTATGTGTCATGACAGCAGTGAAATCGTATCTGTATTAAACCAAACTGCCTGTTTTGGGGCTTTGAGACCAGAATGGTCTGGTCGTATATACCTCATTAACAACTCTCAGCCTCCAGAATAGAGTGATCGCTCGCACTGGGCAGCGTCTCAGCTCCATGCTAACTCCTGAACCGTGCTTGGGAATTGCTCGGGATGGTGCTCGGTGCCCTAGGCCAGAAGTGCCCTGGGGCTGTGCTAAGGATGGATGTGGCTGAGTTGCAGGATCTGGCACTGTTTGATTTGCTAGTATAGCTGTGCCTTAGCTGACTGCCCTCAGGGGCAATGGGAGTCTCCAGCCTTATTCCTTTCTCTGGTTGCAGCGCGGAGCACGGATGGATGGCACAGTGCTGTGGTAACCTGTGATCCCCAGAAGTGTTAGTTAGCTTTGCAAGAACATCCTTGAGAATCTCCTCTAACCTGGCTCATGCCAAGAGTTACACAATTAGCCGTAAAAGTTTTGAAATTTCCAAGGCTACTGTAATTGAAATTAAGGAAAAACTGAGTTTTAGCAGGGTAATGTGCATGTTACTGGACGTCCACATCAGTGTAATGGGCAAGAAGGAAGTATCTCAGTTTTTTGCAGACCTGTTCTTACTCTGTTTATTCAGATACCAGTAGCTCATAACAGAATAGTTATATGTTAATCGCTGAGCTCTTTCATTCCAGACCACTCAGTTAAGCTCACCAGCCTCACTTACTTTGGTAAATCGCTAGTTTCCTTTGATTAAATTACTCACTGTTCCAGTAGAGCTCCCTCACAGATGTGCCTGAGTGTTTTCCAGAGAGTACTAATGGAGAGCAGTGCTGGGGAGAGAGTGACGATTAAGAGCCCTCATCCCAAGAGTACCATTAGGCATCCAGCGTAAGGTCATATTTTAAAGATGCTCTTGGTTAAACAGGACAGCGTGTGGTCGTGGCATAGGGAGCCATTGATAGGTTTGCCTGACGCCTTGTACCAAAACAGATCTTTTAAAGTGGTGGCAGGGAACTTGAGAATTAGCTAGGAACACAGAGGCACCACAGGACAGCAGCTGGAACCTGTTCAGTCCCTCCTTGTCTTCAACATCACTGGTGCATCCTGGTGCAGTAATTGAAAGGACGATAACTCTTTGTATAAGGTCTGTGTTAGTGACGCTGGATCTCTAGTCAAGGCAGGGCTACATCACTGAAGTCATACATCCCTATGGAGGGAACAACTTCTTTGCGGAGAGAACGATCTCTCCTCTTGTTGCCTGCCTGGGCAAGCGTCTGCCAGTTGGGTTTCCCCAGCATTTTGATGGAACTGTTTCTGTTTTCAGGTAGGAAGGCTTTCTACCCGTCTTCCTTGCTGGTTTTTCTCATCTCAAATTTCACTGTAAGCTCTGCGGATGCACTTACACTTAGAGGCATTCGCTTACGCTCCTGCTGATTGTGGGTCATTCTCCTCGTCTGTGTGAGCTGAGGAGGTGTCGATCCATCAGGTGAAGAACCGGCTCTTACGTGGACGCCTCAGCACTAAGAATTTTTCACACCCTTTTAGCCCAAGCGTGTTCCATAGATCAACGTGACTTCTAATTGAGCAGAGCTCTTCAAGCGCTCTTGGTTCTTGCAAGTTTTCCCTGTTTTGTCTTTTCCCTGCCTGGAATCATTGGTCCCTGACGGCACGGGGAGAAGCTTTAAGTTGTGATACAAGCAGGCGTGCGTGCACTCCATGCGTAGGCAGTCTATCTGCCCAATTCCAGCCAGGACCATCTGACATCCGTATTGGGCTGTAGGGAGCAGTCAAATATAAATGAAAAATGTCAGTTGTCTTAGCAGAATGAGTACAAGTACTGGTAAGGAGACTATGAAAATGGCTTTAAACAAAAAGCAAAGTGACTCATACCTCAGCATTCTGGATTGTGTGATGCAGTGTGGTTTTTTTCTTTTTTTTCTTTTAAAGTGTTTAATGGTCCGTTCAAAAATTGATTGATCAAACCAGTGCACACAAACGGTGCCACTAAATGTAGAACAGGAATGACGTATACATAGGAGCTCCCTCGCACAAATTGCATGTCAGGTTACTTGAACAAAGTATGCATCGGGATAGGTTAGGTCCCTGGTAATGAGGACCACTGCAATTGTGTTTTGTTAAAATATTAAACATAAATTAATTTGCAGTTGGAAGAACTCAAATCATAGGAGAAAATAAACATAAATTATATATTGGAGTTATTCCTTACATTTCCATGCTTTCATTCAGGTGCAAGATTGTTATATATCCCTTGCTAGATACAGAAATACTTGTTTCCACTCTTCCATCAATAATGTGCTATTTTAGAGGCTGCCTATGAAGGATTTTCATATGTACAAAGTATTTATAAAGGCTGAAGTTTTTAAACTTAACCAACTGTATTAAAAGTATCCAAACAAGATGGTCTTGGTTCGCATTTGTCTTTCAAGTTAGAGGGTTGCTAAGAATAAAGAAATAGAAAAAGATTTCTTATTCTGTCCTGGTTATAGCCTTGAGATTATATCCTCCTTCATCACTTTTACAGGGGGCAGGGTTTCTCCAAAATTAAAATATTCTAGATAAAATTTCACTCTTTCTATGTGCCAGCACGCATTAATAATTGCTTCCCTCACAATGGGATACCAAGGGTCACTTAATGAAAGTTCATAAAGGACTTTGGCAGATCTAATTGCGTGAAAGGTGTTTAAAAATACAAAGTTTCACCACTTTAATAGTTTTCTTTTTCTTTGCTTCTACAGTGCTCAGAGGCAACGTGCCCTGCTCCATTTTCCAAACCTGTGAGCAAATGGATTGCTCTGAGAATGGAAAGTTTTACACTCAAACAGGCTCCCAGCAGCACAGGGACAGGTAAAGAACCCCCAGGTTCCTCCTTTTCCGTGTTTAAGAATGTTTAAAGAGAACATCGTGTTGGAGAAAAGTGTTGCTGAGAGTAGAATGAAATCCTCAGAGCGAGCGTTACAGTGGCACGGCTGAGGCAGAGTCACCGTCGCAGCTCTGCCCATAACCTTCCTGTTACCCTTGAGGCTCCCATGCCCGGCAGAGGAAAGCTCCTCTCTAGAGCTCCGTCCTCATTTCTCTTCCCAGCCTGTGGAAATGCTGCTTGGGTGTTTGGTGCCTCAGTCCCCCATCCTACAGATAAGCATGATGTCTGAACTTCCTGTAGAGTAGTAAAAAGGCAAAATTAAACACCCTGTCGAGCTGCTCTGCGAGTGAGAGCTGTGCCAGTACTTTGGAGTGCTTTTAAAAGATATATATCTGCCAAGTCCTGCAAACATGATTCACTTCTTTAGTTTCTCAGCCCAGGCATCCTCATTCTTCTAGAGGTACAGAGACACTGGGAATACTGTAGGAGAATTATTGCACTTTTAATTTGATTTTGTTTTCAATTTTGGATGTTTAGTGATACCAGAAACATTCCAGATGATTGCAGAAACAGGGGAAATAGTAGAAATCTTAATACCAGCAGTGGCTGTCAGGTGAATGAGGCTGACAGACCTGTCAAACGTCTCAGAAGGAAGAGAAGACTGCTTCTGGAGTCTGACGATGATGATGAAAATGCAGATGAGGATGAGGTAAATGAGGCTGCATGTATTTTCTGTAAAGAGAGCTGTGAAGAGGAGGGACAATTGTGTGTCTCACATTCCACCGTGCAGTGCAAACTGAGCTGAGGGAGGTTGCTTTGTACCCATGAGAATGATCTGGGTCTGCTCCTGATTTGTGTCAGTAATGAGAATATCTGTTCTGAAGTCTGAGGAGTTGTAAGGGTGAATAGCTCACGTGAAGTCAAAGTCAAGATTTCGGACTGTAACTTTACGGGTGTAGTTACAGCCCTGTGCACCAAGTGTATTTCACAGTAATAAAACCACACGCCTCTAAAAATACTTTATCTAACTGGAGTCGAGTACTGTTATGTGGTATTGAAGATTAGTGTCAAACCACAGCGTTTGATTGCTTTTTATTAGGTACTTGCATGTACACTCACTACACTACTAGAAACCTGTATTAATGGTGGATGAATAGAAGTACCTCAGTCCTGACCTGATCTTTTTTTAACTTGTCATTAAGCATCTTACTCCTTTTAGGGGCCCTTCTTTTGTGCAAGCCTGCACTCTGCTACCGTGTGCATAGTGTCTGGGGCCTGAACCATTTATTTATATTCACGTATTGCACATGCTTTTGTAATGCAGAGACGCTTGGGCAGGTGTTCGTTGGTAAAGCAAGCTGAACCTTCTGATGTCACGAACAGTTTAACTCATCTTGTTGCTCAGCTTTTCTCTGTGATGTACGTAAGATGTTTTAAAGTACGTCAGAAGTGCTTGCATTCTCTCTCTTCCCCCTTCTCCTCCTCGCTTGAAACTGCCCCCTTGTCTCTTCTGGGGCATGTTTGACAGGCAGCTTTGCATTTCAGATTTTGCCCTTTTTGGTTTGCTTTGAGAAATGACAACCCTGGGTGAATTATACATGAGTTTGAAAAACACATAGAAGAGATGTGAATGGCAGTCTGGCTCGGAGTGTGACACAGGGAGACCACGTTTTCCGGGGTGCTTGTCTGTGACAGTAGCTACTTGAAGCTTCTGCTTCCTTCAGGGCTTCATAAATGATTTTTTTTTCTGTATTCATTCCCTGGCATAGATGGACATAAGAACCTCTGAAAGGAAACGGAAAATGGAGCATTACAGTGAGGTTGCTTACGTGAGCAGTAAATCCTGCATTGCAGAAAGCAAATCCTGTGTATTGTAATGGAGATTTTGGGCCTGCGCTGCTCTTCAGTAGCCATATGTAAATGAACTTGAGTAGCATATGTTAAATTAATTTGTAAAGCACTTTGGGATACTGCAGGATCAAAGTTATATATGTAACATACCCTACTAATGTTCTTGCAGGGTTGTTCAAAGGAAGGTAATGCTAGCTAATAGTCCTGTTAGTCACATGTTACATCCTTATTGTACCTGCTTTGTGAGATGATCAAGGAGGGAGGAAAAAACAATATTGCTAAACTTTTTTTTAACGTATCTGTGTCTAGGAGAAGAATAAATCAAATAATATGAAAAGCCGCAGAAACACTAAACCAATAAAACAAGGTGAGCTAAGCTCATAGTCTCTTTTCTTTAATGTTTATAGATTTTTTTACTAGCTATTATAAAGTGAATAATAGTAAACAGAAGAGGAAAGGACAGTAGAGCTCATTTCACATTCAGAATAGCTTATTAGGTACATAACCCTCTTACCACAGTCAGTCTTCTGAAGTGTATTAGCGAGAATATACTAGATTTGCCTGCGTGATGGGCACAGTGTAGAGGATTTAGGAGACGGCCTGATCCAAAGCTCACCAAAGGCAGTACGAATCTTTTTTGCATTGACTTTGGAGAGCTTCATAGCCACAGACTATAGATGCTAAATAGAAAATAAGTTGTAAACAACATGTGATTGATTATACATAAATTTATTATATACCTTAAAGGAGTTAGAATATGTAAACTGGGGGGAGATTTTTAATATGCATTTAAAACATAATTTTCTGTGTGTGTGACTGTGGTCCTACTAGAATGAATCCAAGCACCTGCCCAAGTTGTTGCTTTCATCATCTGTGTTCTGGTAGCTGCCTCTGTAGTAAATGCATTGTGGTATTAGCAGGTTATAAATATATGTGTGTGTATATATATGTAAAAATTTCTGAACGGAACAAAAATTCACTTGATTTTTCATTTGTTTTGTTTTAGGTTTATTTCAGCTGCAATTATATGCCTCTTTGTGCTGTCTTTTAGTTTATCTCTAACCCCTTATTCCTCTGTGAAATATCAGGAGAAGGAATTATTTACCGCAATTTTAAGTTATTATATCTTGTCCAAACTTAACAGTGGCAATTTTCCACGGGCAGCTTGCCAGCAAGCCGGGTGCCACAATTCATTTGACCTGTGATATAATAATTTTTTTTTTTTAATGAGAAATGAGCACAGTTTTCCTGCTGCTGGAATTCATACCTTTCCTCAAAAGTTGGGTAACACTGCCTCCTTTGGGGTGCAACAGCAAAACAGCGTTGGTGTGTACGTGGGAGGAGAAAGAGAAGAGAGGGCAGAGTGGGAGGCATCTGAGAGAAACGTTAATTTTTCTCTTTGTTTTTGATTGCTTAGTTGTTCCTGGAAAGAAGAAGGGATGGAACTGGGTTTCCTACTTAGAAGAGGAACGGATGCCAGCTGCTCCCCTAAAACTGTTCAGAGAGGTTGGCAGCTTTTTCAACTCTCTTGCTATGTTTTTCTCAGGCAGCATCACAGAATTACTAACTCGGTGGAGGTAGGATTGGAGACTACCCTCAAGCCAGCAGTTACATTTATGAGTTGTTTTGGTGCACACAGGCAGTAAAACCCCCACATGTTTGTTTCCAGCCCTGAAGCACTGTGGAAACAAGCATCTGCCCTGTGAGTCTCATCCCAAACCAGGGTGTAAAAAATGCTGGTTGAATCTCACTCAGAAATAAACAGTGACTGTTTCGATCTGCTTTGGGTAGCTGTGGATAAATGGGCTGTTAGGCAATCTCCCAGTAATGTTGGAGAGCTTAATGTCTTTCACGTGTCCTGTGCTTCGTCTGTGGTTGTACAGCACCCCTTCCATCCTTCCTCTGTCGAACACTGCCAGTCAGTTAGCTGAATGTTGTAGAGTGTCTCAGTGGGAAGCGACTGTTACGAGGGAGGGTGGAAGTTGTGTGCATTACTAGTCTGATGCATTGAAGGTGGAAGAGGATGAGTTTAGCCTTGGTGAAGCTGCTTCTGCACTCCAGCCCACCAGCCCCCATTAAAAGTTTAGCTCCCAGTGAGCTCTTCAGAGCGCAGGGTTGTTGGAACCTCACAGAGTGAGATGAGAAGGAAAGTCGGGTAACTGCAGTGGATGCAATAAGCCATTTGCAATTCCAGTTCAGATTTCTTTTAAGCCTTTGCTATACTTCAGATGTTTAATTTGGATTAAGACTGCAAATAAATGAAAGACACAAATGTTTTCTGGGATGACTGTGTAAATGGACTCCAGATCAAACATGCCTTGTCGCTTTTACTGTTTGAAAGTGAGAAGTTACCTTTTGGGAAAGTCTGGACTGCTGACCCCGCGCTGACACAGTCAACCGTGATTTTAGCTTTCCTGGCTCTTTGTTTCTGCCAGCCCTCCTACACTGGGCTACAAAGGGGATTCTTTTGTGTTTGAATAGAGCTCATTTCTGCATCTGCTGAAAGATTTGTTCATAGCTAATTGCAACAGGCTCGTGGTTCAGTGTTTCTGAGAGATTAATTAGAATAACAAGTCAATCTGAAATACAGTGATCATGCCATTATTGATCTCTGTACCTGCGCCTGTCTATTAAAGCAGCAATCATTTAGTGATAGAATTTTCTTCTCTGAGTTGAAAATTTGAAGCCTGATAATTGTTCTGCAATAGATTTTGTCTTCAGGAATTAAAAACAAGTATTTTCTTCTTCCCCCTCCTCACAGTATCAGTCATTCCCACAAGGCCGAAATGGATTTAAAGTTGGAATGAAATTGGAAGGGCTGGATCCTGAACACCCCTCTCGATTTTGTGTTCTCACAGTGGCTGAGGTAGTTGCTCTTCCTATCTTTGATTCCAGAAATCCCATGTACTTTTAGGATTTTTTTTTCAGTAAGTAGAAATATAAAAAAAAAATAGTCCTTGAATTAATTAATGGTTAGGAGGAGTTCAAGGTGACACTGAAGGAATAGTGTTATGTGGTTAAGGATCTGTGCCTGAAATCCTACTGTCAGATTTTTGCAATTGTAACTCAGAATAGTAACCCTATTAATTGCATGCAGTGAACAAATATGAAAAAGAACAATGCAATTAGGCACTAAGGCTTAGTAAATATAAGCAAGCCAAAATGCTTTCTTGTTTCTTCAATTATGTGAAATCAGTGTTGATCTGGTATAGACATAAAAGTTTTTGGGCTGCATTTGTATTCCAGATACTGCCGCACAGTAATATGTGTGTGAGTATGGAATAGGAGGCCAGTGAAGTTACACCAACCAATTTTATTTTCAGCTGTTTAAAGTGAGGAAAGAGGAGCATGGAAACTGGAAGAAGTAAATGAGGAAAAATAAAACTAGACTTTGAGAAATAAATGAGATCTTAAATTTACTTTTATCTATAAATCCAACTATGTAAAGAGTGTTTTATTAGTGTTTTTCTTTAACTTCTTTATGACCCTTTATGATAATCAGAGCTCCCCTTATTATAGGTACAAGGGTACAGAATGCGATTACACTTTGATGGTTATCCAGAGTGCTATGACTTCTGGGTTAATGCTGATTCCTCAGACATCCATCCTGTTGGCTGGTGTGAAAAAACAAGTCATAAGCTGCTCCCTCCTAAAGGTACGAAAAAAAAAAGGTGTACAAGAAACCATAAATTCTACCAAGAACTAGTTGTCCTGGCTCTGCATGTTTCATTTTCAGTATGTTTTCATTGTGGAACTCAATCTGAGTGGCTTAAAGGGAAGAGGTGTAACTAAGATAATGAATGACAAAAGAACAAAACAGCTTCATTTTAATATTCCCAAAGATTGACATTGTTAGTCAAATTAGAAGCTATTGGATGAGCGCATAAAGCAAGGAGTCTCTTTGGGGTTCAGAACTTGCTTCTTTCCTGCGTTCAATTTCCTAGAAACATTTAAAGGTTCAGATTAATGATTGGACATTATACTGAAAAAGAGAGAGATGTTCTAGCTGAAATGCCTAACCCCTGAAGGGCAGTTATCATGCAAAGTTCATATTCTTCCCAGGTAATTTCCATTTCTGAAAAACCAATCTGAATATAACAGGGCTGTGTAAAACAATCTTTTTATCTCTCTTTCTAGGTTTCAAGGAGGGAGAATTTAATTGGACTTCCTACTTGAAGAATTGCAAAGCTCAAGCAGCTCCAAAAAGCCTTTTTAAGACCCTCGGCACTGTAAGTGGTGATACTGAATACAAGGTGTTTCAAATAGGTCTGAATGATGCTAAGTAAGTTTTGACCATCAGATTTACGTGTTTTTAATATGCTCATGTCAGAGGTACAACCATGGTACAATAAGATGCAAGCTATTTCCTGCTGTGATTTATTTTTAAGATGGGAAGCTAGTACAATTTTTCTTCCTTCCCCCAGCCACTGACTTTTGATAGATAATTTGTATTTCCCTTCCTTCTTAATATTGGAGGAAAAGATTTACTCTACCATTTATTAAATATATTACAACGGTCTGTTTTGCTGTGTCCCTACAGTCAAGATATTTGTGTCACTTTCCTCTAATTTAATCATTTCCAAAGTAATTTCTGGTTTCCAGCAGCATACTCATGTGCGCCATGGGATTCATTATGAGGCTATGGATCTTGAGCATTTTTCATCCTTCACCCACTGTTGCTTTCTTTTTTGGTCGTTAGCCTCAGTTCCTGTATAACACTCACTCCCATTTTGTGTCACTCACATGACACGAAGTCCACGGTCTGGCGGATTTCATGCTGCAGATGGGCAGAACACTGACTTCAGTACAATCAGGGCCTAATTGTGCAGCTCTGCTCTGCTTCTGACTGAGTCACCTATTTTCCTTGAAGGCTCTCTGACTTTTCCACTAATAAGTCAGGACCTGCAGTGCTTACGCTTATCCTCAGCCAATACTCATCACTGCGAGGCATGTGCATCTTAGCCTTTCAATCTGTAGTGTTGTTGTGTACGTGGAGATTCTCTTATTCAAGCTACTTTAGCTCTTTTTTAGAAATAGTAACGATCATTGCCAGAACACATGGAAATGTCATCTGTAAACCTCTTGCTAGTAACTATATATAGACAGTGTGTTTTGGTCTGTGGGTTTCAGGGTTACAACCTGCAGCAAATGAGTTTATAAGGGTAGTGTAAATGGCCTGATCTAGAATGTGGCTGATTTCCCTTTCCTGATGTCCTGTTCCTCAGCCTGTCACACCCTCTGGTTTTCGTCTGGGAATGAAACTAGAGGCAGTGGACAAGAAGAATCCATCTCTGATGTGTGTCGCAACCATCATGGACATGGTGGATAACCGCCTGCTAATTCATTTTGATAACTGGGATGAGAGTTATGACTACTGGTAAAGAGATTCTATTTCTAATATATATCTGCAAGTAGGCTGTGGTTTATTTCTCTCTTCCACTCAGGGTAATATCTAATATTTTAAATGTGGTCGCTAAAGTTGGGATCTTAAATCAGTTTTCAAGCATCTGAATAATTACTTTGGGTTTTTACAAAATGCCAGTTGCCCAGTAGCTTCCCCTGCTGTTTGAGCGCTCGTAAGTTGGCTCAGAGCGAAACCAGTGGGGTTAGCTTGAACTGCCCGTGAAGCATTCAAGGTAAGAAGCATTTGAGGTAATGCAGCTGGCCAACTTGGGTCAGGTCAGGGAATGTTCATGTTATCCGTTCCTCTGGCAGAGCTGAAGGAAGAGCAAGCTCCACTAGTGACACCACCTGGAATTAGTAACATTGTCCCTTCCAGGACTACTAGAGGGTGTTGGCATGTCTCTCTGCAAACTTACATTTGGAAGCAGGCAGTACTGAAGTCAGTAAAAATCTTTTCCGTTTGCTTCAGCAGAGTTTGGCTAAGGCCCTTTGAAAATAAAAACGATTGCCAACATTTAGGCTTTTCAGTCCTGACCTGCACTACAGTTGTTCTGCATCCGAGAATTTTGATCCCCTGCCCTCACGCTGGAGCCAGGTGGAATACTAGTCAAAGAAACATTTTCCCTTTATGGCCCGTGTTTTCCAACCTACCTGAATGGAGCAATTTCCTTTGTATTTGTCTGTGAAAGCAACACAAGGCACATGCCTGTCAAAACAGCACTGATTCAATCAGTATTCTGTGTACTCTCCCCCATCTCCTTTTGTTTGGGGTTTTTTTTTTTTCAGAATAGGCACCTGTTTGGTGGGAAGTTGGTCTTTTCTTTCTTTGCCATAAATATGTCATGCAGAGCGTTGTAACACCGGTGTTTCCATTTGCAGGACTTTAGCTCTCCTTCCTTCACCGTTTTAGCTTCACTGTGAAGCTTTGTTTTCATGCCGTGTTTTGTTTAGAATTTGAAGATTTTAATGGAAACACAAGCAAACAAAGCTTCAAAGTAGAGCTTTGCTGAAAACACCCAGTTTTTTTCCTAGATCTGAAAGACTGCTCTGGTCCCTTCCTGGGAGCAGATGTGACAAAAGGGGCTGTCTCAAATTGGCCTGTCGCCTCCTTCAGGGACTCAGAAGATCTAAACATGCAATAAAATTGGGAACCAGGCAAACTACCACTAGGTTTCAGCTAGAATGAACAGATAACCTGCAGTTCTTGGCAAAGACCTTAAAAGTAATTTCCCCTTCTTCTACAATAATGGTGTTTCATTTAGGGACGAGGGTTTGGGGTTTGTTCCTTTGCTTGCTTTGGATTTTAGCTTGGATGATCTTTGTCCAGGCTGAATTGTGGTTGGTATGGTCAATGTGTGGGAGGCTTTTTGTTGTTATTTTTTTAAAGCACCAGACATTCTTCTTTGTATTTCCCTATCTTTTGGGGCAGGCTTGAAAACTTGGCATTATAAATTCTAACGAGGTAATTCTTGTCTTTTACGCCATGATCACACCCACTGAAAGCATCTGCTAACCCAGCAAAGGCGTATCAGACAGCATTTGAAATTCTGCTTTTCTTTTTGCTTTAAAATTGACTGGTGCCAACTTTGCCTCTTTGATTCAGGTGTGAAGCTAGCAGCCCGTATATTCGTCCTGTTGGCTACTGCCAAGAAACTGGAACCCCACTGACAACACCACCTGGTACGTCGAAAGTTAGGCTTATTTCCTGCCTCAGTCAAAAAACCTGCAAGCTTTATCTTCCACATAATTACGTATTTGCAAGTTACAGGTTCCATTCAGTACTCTTTTCTCTACTGAACAGCATTATTATTCATACTTTTGCCACTGCATTTTATTTTGTTTCATAGGTCTTTCAAAAAATGGAACGGGGTTTGGTAATTTGTAATTGAATTGGATTTCGGAAGGGAAAGGACTTTGAAGTATTTGCAGCATTTCCTTTAGGGTGAGCTGGAAGAAAGAGGAAGCAGTATCATGATTTCATAGATGGTAAGATGGAATTTCTGTAAATGAAGGAGTAACAGAAGCCCCATCTCTTTCTGCTGCACTGGAATTCAGTAAATGAAGAGAATGATGGCAAATGAAAAAGGACGGAACCTACAGGAAAATCAATGTTGTTTTCAGGCCTTGGAAGTGCTCATTCACCTTAAAAATAACAAAAATAAAAAAAAATGATGTCTGCTGTTTGCTAGATTGACAGCCCTGGGGCAAGAATTTCTGCAATTACTACATATATCAAGTTTATTAGAGTGGGTGGCTCTACCGAGATCCCTCTGCATTGGAGGAATTAGCCTCTGTGCCTTTGCTGCCGATGCAACAGGGGTTGTAAACGCGTGTTCTTCAGCAACGCCACATCTGCTCCTGCTCCTGGAACGTGCAACGAGGCTGTGGCGTGCAGCTCCCCTACTCGTACCACGATTACCTGTGCCCCCAGCAGAATCTGCAGTCAATACTGGTTTCTCTGCTGAGAGATTTATGTGCAGCAATTTGCAGGCTGTCCTGTGCATTTAGTCATTGCACCTTCCTGCCAAAAGGAAACAATACTGAGGCTAAAAAACCACTGAAACAGGAAGGGGGAAAAAAAAAAGTAGAACAGTTTCTTAGAGGTAGCTGCTGGGGAGAGACATCCTGTTGTTGTTAGAGTAGCACAGCCTTGTAGGTGTCTGAGGTTATGGTAAAGGCGATGGAGCCTTTTGTCTCCAGACTGTAGTTTTACTCAGCTATGCGTGAGTAGGTAGCAGGAGATGAGAAGTTTCTACAGTCTTGCAGGCACTCACATGTAGAATAGTTAATAAAATAGGAAATTAATTTAGTGCTGCCATTGCACATCACAGAATCCTCTGACTAGCTTTTAATTGGCAGCTTTCTCTAGAGAATAAACATTGGTTAAGCTGTACAGAAATGAACTCTTCAGGTTTTTCGGGTCAGGGTTAAAGCCCTGAGTAGAAGGGAGGGAAATTTGCAGTGCTGCTCTGTGTGCTGTGAGTGGTGTGTATGAATAAACAGACCACTTTGCAGCACCATCCATTGTAAGTGTGAAATTAACATAATAGCCATGTGTTACATAGCTGCTTTTCTGTTGTTTGGAACAATAAATGTGGGGTTTTCTTACTTAAATGTTAATTCTCTGTTTTTTTCAGGATACAAGGATTCCAAAGCTTTCTCATGGGAGAAATACTTGGAAGAAACTAATTCCCAGGCAGCGCCAGCAAGAGCATTCAAACTGGTTGGTGAATCTCTTTGATTGTCCTAGATAGGAGGGCCGGAGAAACAGCTGTTACCTACCCTTTCTTGCCAGATGTTTTATTTGATGGTGCTTCACCATGTCTATGCCAAGAGGGTGAAACTGGGTTTTTTACTTAGAGTTTAAGATCATCTCTTACTGCTGCTAAAACAAAACGCACAGCAGACTACAAGTTTATTATTTTTTTAAATGCAATGAAAAGTTGGTTTGGAAAGGATTTTTGACTAAACATCTTCACTTGTTGCATTAGGAGATTTAAGGGAAGAGCCTTCAGTCCACACAGATAACTGTAGCTTTCAGAGGAACATGTGAAGGGCAGTACCTTGCCTCAGAGTAGGCTTGGAGAGGAGAAAGAGCTGGTCTTCTGCTCGAGGTCTGACTGTGTGGGCAGAGGGGATCTCCCAGTTGACATCTGAGCAGGACTGACACTGGTTGAACAGACTTTCCAGCCTCTCCCTTCATGGGGGTCAGGAGTGGATATCACTGCCTGCAACCGCAGTCTTTGGTGGGGAAGGGAGGAAAGGGTGGTGTGTGTGTATGTGTTTGAGGGAGAATGAGAAGTGTGCAGTTCATCCATCGGGTGTCCCCTCCACACGAGGTTTTAAAAACTTCTAAAATATTTTCACCTTGCAGTTGTGCAAAGCCCTCTTCCCCTGGTGATGAGGCAGGAATTAAGGTAGAGTGAGAAGTTCCTGTCAAGGGCTTACATGTTCTGCACCCCCACAGAAATAAGCGTACTAACAGATGATAGAGCATCTCTGCCAAACTCCTAGATGGAGTAAGATTATTCTGCAAACTAAATCTGAAGATGGTTCTCTCAACCCTGCACAAGCTTTTGTTTCTTACATTGGAGTTCAGTGCATTTATCTGGAAGCTCACTGTGAGCAGAAACAAAGCAAAAGCCTTTAAAATAACTTCATAAAAAAAACCCCACCATACTTTAAAGTTGCTTTTTTTTTCATAGCAGCTTCTTCTGCACTGCTGGCTCACCTTGCTAGACTTTGCAATATGTTTAAAAACTTTTCTGTGCCATTGTGACACTTGTCTTGATTCCTTTCGATGAAGTTAGCGTTGCAGGTTAATACCTGCTGCCCTCCCGTATGTGTTGTTGGTAAGCTCTTTGGGACTGAGGAGGAAAAGCAATCAGGGAGGCCTCAGATAAGGGAGGTAAAAATCCAGCCAGACAAGTTTGATAATTGCTAGATTTCAGCAGGTGTCCATTTGAAGTTGTTGTAGGTTGCAAGGTGGATGTCAGGGAATAGGAAGAGGCTGGTTTCGCCTCTTTAGAGAACTGTAAGGCCACAGCTGGAGTTATCTGCAGCACAGTTGAACTCCAAAACGTCCCTTGGATTAAGGTTTTCCAGAGTTGGGCAGACAGCGTCTTCGATCATTCAGTGCAGCAGGTGAAACACCTCGGAGCCAGTGTGCTGGATAATGAGTGAAGCTTGTCAGTAGGACACATTTGTAGTCCCCAGTGTAGGCTCAGCCTTTTTCTGAGCCATGCTCGTAAAATCCCAACCGTACTGGAAAACGGAAACCTTCAGAATGCAAGAGCGAAAGAATGCAGCAATTGGTCTTCTACACAATAGAGGAACAATAGAAGTAGTTTTGTAGAAACAAATATTTTGGAAAGATAGTAAAACTCTTCATGATAGAAAAAGACACAGTGAAGTATGACCTACTTAAAACTCCCAGCCTGAAGTCCTCAGTAATCTGTCATTATGGCATTCTTTCCTCAGATTTTCAGAATATAAAATGTGTTGAGAAATGTCATCTGAAGATAACAGGGCTTTGCTCAGGACAGGGAGTGCTCTACTTTTTGGATTCTTCCAAAATGACGTGTCTTCCCAAGGGGGAATGCAACTGCCTTGTCTGCCTCTTACCTTTTTTACATACATCTCTGCAGCCATTTTTTTGCTCCTTCAGCTGTCTGGCTTTGAGAGAATAGCAAAAGGGCCAATTCTGGCTCTCATGAAACTCCAGAATATAAATTAGCATCCGAGACTGTTTCGAAAATGAGACAGAAAAAAAAAAAAAAAAGGCATTTGATATATCAACAGTTAATAGAACTCTTTCAAGATCAAACCTCGTTATTTTTCTGGCTTGGTTGGTCTGAAGTGCAAATACATGGCACAGTTATTGATTTTTTTTATTATTATTATTATTATTATTCCAGCTAGCAATTACAGGAAATCAGTACATAAAAATATGGGTTGAGAGCCAGAACAGGCATTTGTCACTGAATTAGTTTTTAACAGTTTTCAAGAGCTATCTTATGTAGCCTGAAGACACTGATCATCAGCACAAATAGCAGATCTTGCATCTGGATTTCTGCCTTCTCCTCCACCCAGAAACACTGGAGGAGACAGCTTTGTCGTCAGCGTCGCTGTTTCAGCCCATTGTCTTGGGCTGTGAATTCAAAAACATTCAGGACCCATTGCCAAAAAGGCAGCAATCCTTCAGCGAGACTTAAACAAATAGCCTGGCGCATCTTCTGGGCAGGATTTTGTTCTCTAGCACTCAGGCTTCTTCCTGAAGGAATACAGACAAGGTTGGCTGGTTCAATAAGATGCTCTTAAAACTAAAAGCAGTTTAGATTGTCTGGCTCCCAGTGTGTTGTGTGGCTGAAAGCCTGTGGATAAATGTCCGCATCCAGGTGAAAAGATCAAAGAGAAACTTCGGGTTTGGAGTCTGTAATCCCCTTAACTTAGAAGTGGACCTGTTTCCCTGCCCCCAGCTACTGGCAGTTGTCGTGGTATGCTACAGCAGTAAAAAGGGTAAGATTGTGAGGGAAGAGTGATTTTAATCATCTTTCATTAACCTGATCTTGTTCAAAGACACGATTTATCATGTCTTGCTAAAATCCTGACCTTTGTGAGCAGAAGTGAAGAAGGACGTGTTTTGAATGAGTATCTGGTGCTCCATAACCCCCTGCTGAGGGGGTCAGAGGAGGAATTTGCAGTAGTCATTTAAAGATAAATGGAAAAATTGGTCAATGCTGTCTGTTACTTAAAGCTTTACATCTGTGGGTGCTGCAAAGGGCACGCATCAGGTCAAAGGACGTTCCAGAGTTTTTACGAAGTAGTTTGCTGCGGTCTGAGAGAAAGGATAAGTTGGTGACTGTGGATGGGAGACTCCAGTGGCTGGAGCTGCTCTCAAGTCCCAGTACCGCAGTTCTCCGCAGTCATCGTTAACAAGCAGATGCAGTTTTGTCATAAGAAGTAGGTGGTAGCCTGCTTAATGAGGGTAAGTGTCATATCCAGATGCCAAGAAGGATGTCATGTGTAGTGTAGTGAAGAGAGATGTCACGTGGTGGTGTGTTTCAGGTGTAAGACAGTGATGACCTGGCCGCTGTCCTTGTCAGATGTGTGATCGTCTCTCTGCTGTGTTTGGGAGTTTTGGTGTCCGAATGCGGAGTCTGTGTGCGGTGGAGCTTGTGGTAGTATTTGGCCTTTTTTCTGTTAGGAAAGCACCTCTTGCCCTGGCTGTGAAATGCTCCTCTGCACTGAGCAAGCTCAGGTTTCCTCTCAAGTAGTTTCGGGCTGCTGACAAACAGACAGCTTAATCCTCTAGGAAACTCTGATTTTAACCTCTGAAGCAGTCTGCTGTGTGAGATCAGGGGCCAAAGCTGCTGAGGCATTTGAATAAATGATAAAAAAAACAGCGCATTTTATTCAGAGCAGGTGACTAGCTCTGGACGCCCAGACTTTTTAGCATTCTGCTTACAATTCTGTCTTACAGCGCCCTGCTCACGGATTCCAAGTTAATATGAAGTTAGAGGCTGTGGACAGAAGAAATCCCATCTTGATAAGAGTGGCAACAATAGTTGACAAAGACGACCATCGCATTAAGGTATGACCTTGCTTCAAAGTGCAGAGCCCTTGTGCTGAGGAATACAGTGATTGGCAGTACAGAAAAAATACCCATTTGGTATAAGGAGCGGCAAACAAACTCCTCACAGATGATCTAGCCCACAGGCCTGCCCAGCTGGAAATGATTTCTGTTGTTCTGTCCTGTTGAAATCTGATGGAATTGCCTGGTATTGTTAGTTACTGTTTTAATGTAACTATTTTGAAATAACATTTGACAGCATGATTTTCCGTCTCTTAGCGGTTTCTGTGTGATCCGTGCAAGTGAAGGCAGCGTTAATGTTCTACTGGTGAGAAGATAGCTGACAATTTTCTTTTCCTAACATACTTAAAGGAAAACCCAAAGCAAGTTAAACCCTGGTACATGGGGGAAGCAGCTTCATTCTCCAGTATGAATCTGTTACATAAATAGATTTTAACTAATTCTTTTCACATAAATATATTGCCAGAAAATCTGTTTGGCTTTGGCTTCTGAGAAATTAAGTATGAGCTAGCTAAAGTGGAGGCTGCACTGATGGAGGCTCCTCGGCCACAGGTCTCCTTCCCAAAGGATGATTATGTGGGCAGCAGTCGAGTTTGCTCTCCATCAGCCATTTCATTTCAGTTTCATCGTTGTAATTACAACCAAAAGTCAACTCCTGCCGATATATAGTAGCATGATACTCAGTTCATGCATTTGTTTGAAACTTTGCCGCATAAACAACCCAGTAGCCTTTGAGCTGCAGTGACCCTTAGTCTCTGGTAACCTCATCTGGATCTGAGCTAACTATTACTAGTCCCTTTGTCCAGCAGAAGATTCTAGCTTAAAAACTCACCAAACTTGTTGGCTTTTATGGTGTTTTGGCATCCTCAGAAAACAAAACCATTAAATAAGTAATTGTATTTGCATAGATTTAATCTTTGAGTATAGTGTGCCGGAGCACCCCATAGTCTGCGCTTTCTTGCAGACCCTGTGGTTTGACTGTATCACCAGAATCTGGTTGTTCTGCAAAACATAGATGCAGAGCTCAGGAAAACAAATAGTTACACTGAGCACAAAGGACGATTGTGCTTGACTGAAAGATTGAATGAATCAACCCCAAGCTGAGCAAGGTGAAACAAAGGGGGAAGTTGAAATAAAAGCTGAGTCATGTCCTTAACTATATATCTCACTGAGACTGTCTGCTTCTTTTAGATACATTTTGATGGTTGGGACCGTAACTATGATTTCTGGGTCGATGCAGACAGCCCTGATGTTCATCCAGTAGGCTGGTGTGCAAAAACTGGACATGCTTTGCAAGTCCCTCTAGGTAAAGTAGATGGCATCATATTGTTATGTTGAATTATTTTCCTAAGTGCAGTCTACTCTTCAGATGCAAGGAGCGTTTTACATATCTGTTTAACTTATTTTTTATTTTTTTTTTCTTATTACCAGGTGCTGTTGATCGAGTGGGGACAGTGGGACAAACGTGTCCTACTCCAGGCTGCCACGGTATCGGTCATGTCAGGGGACCACGATATGGAACACATTATACGTATGTATATGAGATCTTCTTGTAAGGGTTCTGCCTGCGAGAGTCTGACTGCTGTCCATAATAATAATGCAGCAACAAGCACCTGCACTGCACTGAAATTACCTCAGGGTTGTTTATCCTGGAGATAGTTATAACTGCAATTGCAGCTCCCTCTTGTGTCTAAATGTGCTGTTTCAACATAAATTCTGTTTATACCAGGATAATCATTACAACTGCAATGCAATCCAACAGAGATTAATTCACTCCAATTTCTATATTCCAGCATTACTGAAGGAATTTTTTTTGTTAAATAATATACCTGAGAACAGGATGCAAGGGAGACGGTTAAAGAGGGAGAGAATGTGGGTAGATTATTAAAATAAAGAGTGAGAAGAGCTAGTTCATGTTTTGTGCTCGTATTTTGGTATGTTATGTGCTGCTGGAAAAGGAAGGCTTGTCTCGATTGAACTGTTTTAAAGAGCAAGAAAGCAGTCTCAGATGGGAGGTCTGAAGATCTAGTAATGTATAATGTGGTAAAGGGCTTTGAATTTTTCAGAGTTAAAGTTGCCAGACTCTCTCGTTTCATGAAATACTCTTCAGACCAAGCAGGTTACAGAGGAAGAGCTCTTCCTGTTCTCTAAGGCGACACTTTAAAAAACATGACTTTGGTTTCTAATTCTGCCATGTAGTCCCCTGCTTTCCCACACCTAAAACTGGGTGATAACATCTCCCTGAGTGTTTCTGGCCTCACTTTTTCTGGGTTTTCTGATGGTCTGCCTGAGGCTGGTAAGACTGTGTGACTTAAAAACATGCAGCATCATCTCTCTCTCTTTTTTTTTTCCTTTCCTTTTTTTTTTTTTCTTTAACACAGGTTAGTTGGCTGCCCATATTCTGATGTGAACCTCAACAGAGAAAACTTGTTACAGGACCGCCTGAGCGGGGAGAGACCTTCCCCTAGCAATAGCATGCAGAAAGCCAAGAAACTGGAGACTCCTGCTCCATTTCTGTTAGGAACGGGAGACTCTTCTCAGGAGGACTCTCCACAATCCAGGTGAGCTGAACCTTTTTCTTGGGTGGGTACTGGGGAACAAAACCATTTTACAAGGCTGAAAAACACAGGAATTGGCAGAGAAGCAGCAGAGCGTTGAGTTCATCTGTCTGTAATATTGACCCATGCCCCAGACACTCTTAACATGGAGCGGTGCACTTTTATACCCTCATATGACTTAATAGGTTTCTTGATTCCTTAATCCTGCTGCTCTGGTCACATTCCAACAAAGGAAATTGCATTCTGTCTCCATAATTTTTCCCTTGCTGTTTCAATTTAAAATATATTATTTTCCTTCATTTCCTGTCCTAAAACTGTCAAGCAAGGTTATTTTGTACTATTAAACTGTAACTGCAATCCACCCCGGCGTCGGCTGCGTTGCACTGCTAGGCGTAATGACTGCATGTGTATCACTTGGCAAACAAGTTGAGCTCCTTCAGATACTTTATTTTCTTACATGAAAATCTTGGAATTGAGTGTCATCGAAGCAAACTGTGTATTAGTTCTTGGACTGCAGGAGGCAGTTAAAATGTGTCACGGGACAGACCTGGACATGAAGGCTTTTATTATTGTCACCTTTAACCTGTGTGAATCCAGTCTCACTAAAACGAACCCCAGCAATACTTTTGGTCTTCGTTGTATATGAAGGCTGTTATACATTTTACAGTTTGTTTGATTTACAACATATTCAAGGCATATTTGGCCAGAAAAAAGGGATACTTCTCTCCCCTCCCTGGCATATACGGCCAAAGTTTGCCTCCTCCCATCCCAGAAATGTGCAGGGGTCTCTATTTGCTAATCTCAACACCGGAATTGATTGCATTTCAATGGCACTGTTACCATAAAGCTCTCTCAGGAGCTTTGGAATTCTCCCGGAATAAATGGCATTCTAAAATTGTAATGTATTTCTATTCTTCGAAGTATTTCATTTCCTGATAGTGGGAGGTCTGAATTCAGTATGCAAATCTGATAACACCCTACAGCTTATTCTTCCTTGGGCAACTGTGTAGCTCAGTTTATGCATCAAACTCAGTCATGGAGACTTAAATGTTATCTGGAGGTATCAAGATTCAAAAATCTTAAATCTCTTGATTTCACCATAACATACGCTTCAGTGGGTTTCGTGTAGCTTCTGGGATCAGAGCCTCAGTCCACAGGGGCTGATTTATTTTACATAATCTCTCTCAATCCGTGCTGAAGAGTAAGAGAGCACTTTGTACTGTGCCAGTAATGACAGGGGGAGAGGAAAGCTTCTACCACTAGGTGGTAGTTGCTGCTCTCACTTGCGAGGAGCAGCCAGCTTTGCTCTCCTGCGGGAAAAGGGAACAGAGGATGACAGTTTAGCTACTATCATTTATCTGTCTTTCCAGAAAATCTGCACAAGACAGTGAAAAGTCGTGTCAAAGCAGTGTTCACAGTCTGTCGGAACAGTCTGAAAACAATCAAGAGAGAGACTGGGTAGAAGAGGATTCCTCTGCAGACATCAAAGCCAAACCAAAACAGTAAATAAGATTTTAGTCATGTATTTTCATGCATTAACAGTTGTGTTTCTTGATGCTGCTGCTGTGTCTGAAATACAGGTGTAAAGCGTAACTTAGAACAGCCCAATTTGATCAGAGATTTGCGGCATAGGGTTTTAAAATGACATGGTAAATCTCTTCCCTTCCTCCCGTTATTTGGGCCCTCTCTTTCCTGCAGTAGACTCAAATCTGAGTTCTAGCGATGAATTCAATAGCACAGTCCTTAACTAGAGAGAGACGTCAGGGATGGAGCAGTGCTATTGCTTATTTTAAGAGGAAAAAGTTTTGGGTTCCTGTAAATCCTATTAACCTCTATATAGAGAAGAAATTATATCAATTTGTGTACCTTTTGAAATGTTTTGTAATTGATGCTTTCAGGCTTGGATGCTCACATGCCTATATAAAGTTCCAGCTGGTGAAGCAGGAAAGCAATGGGAAAGGTTGGTTAAATTTTATTTCTTTTTCTGTGTGCGCATAGATGTGCAATATACCACAATCACAAGGAACATTTAAAACTTTACACCTTTTCTGTGTTTGATTCCACAGTCAAAAGAAAGCACACACTGGAGGTGATAGTAATGGTAGTCTTTCTTCCTTTAAAATGAGGAGGAAGGGTAAAATTACTTAGAATTTAAAAGTTTAATACTTTGTAGAGTGAAGCCTCGTATTTATTAGCTGAGAAGACAAGCTTGCGCCATCTCTTGTGCCACTGCCTTCTCTTCTGAAGTGGCATAGGGTTTTTGTTCCCTAAGCGGTCAATGAACCGTTCTGCTTGCAGAGCCAGCAGAGGTGACAAGGGAGACTTGGTCAAAACCTGGCAGATAGTTTAATTTCCATTGACTTCTTTCTTTAGACCCCACTGGGCATTCACAAACAGAATCATTTTGGGTGGTGATTTTTTTAAGGTTCTCCTAAGGATGACAAAGAAAACAAAAAATTAAATAGAAGAGCAATGCCTTTTTATTTTTGGTATGTGACAGGTTAACTTTTAAGAGGAGCTTTCTGATACCACTTTAGCAAACCATATGCTTAACTTTCAGATTTACTATAAAAAGCTATTTCAGAGAACCGAGCTGACCAGGCTTTTAGGAGGATTTAACATGGTAATAAGTCTCCAATCAAAAATAGCTAAGCAGGCACAAACTGGGACAGGTGCCTAGCTTTTTTTTTTTTTTGTTAATACTCACTTTTACCTAGTGCTGACTTCTGCAGTCAGAGCTGGAGAAGTCTGCCAGCTGTGAGCTGCAGTTGCAGCTGGCAGGGAAAGCTGTCTGCACTCCCTTCGCATTCACCTTAAACAGAATGATGGAAATCGGTGGAGGGAAATTCTGCAATAATCCACTGACCTGTAATTTCACGATTACCCAGAGCTTTCACCCCATCTACATTTAAACTATTAGAACATGGCTTCTTTCTCAAAGGGAAAGTAGTTTGTTTAGATTGGGGTTTGGATGCTTACCCCTGAGGATTTGGGCTCAGTGAAGAAAAGGAGACAGCCTGTGATAGAAGCAGTGCCCACCCAGCAGGGACGTGGCAGTACGTAAAACCTTGGGCAGCGGTAGGACCTCCTGCGGCAGCGAGGTGGGGGCAAGGCCAGCTGCTGCCCCCGCCACCGGGGCAGTGGGGGAGGCAGGAGAGGAGTAGGTGACAGCCCTGTGCTCTGTTGTCACCAGGAGCATCAGCTCCTGAACTGAGCAGGCTTGATTTTTAAAAATTCTCCCTGTTTGGTCGCATTATTAGAAAGAGAGACCTGCATTTGATGCTGTCCCACGTGCTTTAGGAGCTGGAGGCGAGGTAAGGTGACAGGGCAGCGACCTTTCCCTAGATCAGGCTCTCCCTCCAGGGCTGCTTTCACTTCGGCTGGTGAGGAGCAAGGCAAATCATGGAAACTTACTTTTTCTTTATAAAACTACTGTCCTTTGTGCTTTACGCGTAGCAACTGGCGCACCCCACAGATCCTTACAGCCCATCCCGCTACCAACCCTTTGTGCTAACACCGAGCAAACCCAGCCGAGGCGAGCAGCCGCCGTACCAGCGCTGGGCATGCCGAACCTTGCTGAGAGCAGGAACAAAACGGGAATTTTGTACGGTTGCCACGGGATGGCGCCTGGCATCCTGCGCACCCTGCACACAGCCTGGCAGGGTGGGGGGCGCGGGGACAGCACACCGCTGTAAACCAGAGGAATGTTTCCCATCTTGTTTCCATCCTCTGCTTTGCTTCCTGTTGTATAACCAGGCAAGTCCCTGTAGGACCATGACTCTGCACTACTCGAGTGATCTCATTAGGGAGGGGTGATTTCTTCCTTTTCTTGCCTTCATTTTTAAAGCTTCCATCAGTTGACACATGAGGAGGGAGTTGATGTCTGAAGGTAACGTGCAGCACTCCTGGCCTGGGAGTCTCCTGGGGAGGCAGCGAGCCCGGGCCATCAGCTGGCACACATAGCGCTCTTCGTAGGCTGGTACAGCTGTGAGCTGGAACAATGCCATTAGTTTCCAGCCGAAGATGCTGTTACCAGAACTCCTCCACCTTGTCAATAAAACGCTGCAAACATCCTCTCTGTTAGCAGCATGATATCATTTTCCAGGGAAGAAGCTAACGATAAAGCTTCCGGCCTGGCAATCTTATCTTATCTTTGTTTTTTCTTTCTCCTTCTCAGGAGGGTGGGAAGAGCTCCCTGAAAGCTCAGGGTGCCATGCGGTAGCCGTGCCTGGCTGTCTGCTCACCCTGTCTTGCTTTTCCCTCCGGAGCACGACCCTTCCTCCTGCTTTATTTTACTTGCTCCTACTTGAAGCCTGTCTCTGACTCGTCTTGTTTCCTCTTCCAGACCCTGATTTGGATCTCCAGCAGGCCCTCCACCAGTCCATCTTCATGCCTTCCCTGGCCTCTAACCCGACCCACCGCCTCCATCTCTGCTGGGAGCAGCACTGCAAGCTCTTGCCAGAGGTCTCGGGCCTCACGGCCAAACACGTGGCCAAATGGACTGTGGAAGAGGTGAGTTACCTGTTCCCTGTTCTGCTCTCTTGGGGTGCAGGAATGACGGAGCCCTTCTCTTCTAGAGTGCTAACTGGAAGACATCTTGATTTTCTTTCCTTTTCTAGGCAATGCTCTCTGTTTGCTTTGCATATGCCTCAGCTGACTCAGCTGGAAGTTATACCCAAGTCCCTTTATAAGAGAGGGGAAGGATCTCTATTAACCCTCTGGTGTCCACAGCTAATTTCCCTGACAAGGATTCTCTCCCTTTCTTTGTTTGTTTATTTACCCCTTGGTTTTTTGGTCCTCAGGGCTAAAACGTGATTCTGACAGCAGATTCTGTTTCTGTCTGATCTCCCTCCTCCTTTCCTGTGACTTTGCTGCTGATTCACTTTTACATTGCAGATAATTCCAAACTGCACTGTGCATGCCCACTCCTCCTGCGTCTCCCTGCCTGATTCCCCTGGAACAAAACTGCCCACAGTCTGACCTGATTTTTGACAGAGGTAGCTGTGCAGTTGGGGATATGTCTCTGCGGTCTTAGCTCTTGAGATGTCTCCTATAATTAGGTGGTGTGTGAAAAAGCCAGTATCTTTTGTGTGCTGAGTAGTTGGTTTTTGCCTCAGTGCCTTGGGCATAAATAATATTTGTATCTCCGCTTGGGAAGTGGTGACAATTTGGATCCTGGTGCTTAATCGCAGGCCATTTAATTCAAGAGAAATGTGCTGTAATGTGCTTGCAAGGATGGAGGTAATCTGCAAAGCAGGAAAAAGGTGCTGTTCTTCATGATGCATAGAGGATCTTCAGAGACTTAGAAAGTGCATTTTCCCTAAGTGCCTCTTACATCAGATAAATCCAATCTTGACTTTGCTCTTCAGGCTGGAGGACTGGTAGGAGACTGGTGGGATTGCAGTATCCCAGGAGATGGGAACCGCAGCCATTGTGAAGGGGAAGAGCTATTAGTGTGGCTGTTTTAAAACTTGGTCCTTTTTTTCTTGGTTTTTGGTTGTGGTTTTTTTTTGTAATGAAAATGTGCTTGAATTAAATTCATAGCAAGGAGGAAATAATCTCTTGGAAAGATTTGCTGTTCGTATCCTTCTTTAGAGAAAGCTTCCAATGATTTTTCCAAAAGGTCTTTTAGAAAATCAATAAAGGCAGAAGCAGTTAATCCTCTGACGTGAATATCAGAATCCCTTTCTTTTGGATAAAACATGGAGGCTGGTTCATGGGAGAGCAGAGTCAGAATACAAGCCAAATAAAATTTGTCCTTTGCAGTTGACCTTTAAAGCAACTGCTGGGTAAATTTAACTGGGATGATAGTTTGATAACGGATGAATGTAAGCAGGGACTACAGGGCATGAATGCAGGGCACTCTGGATATAGCGATTCAAAATCCAGAATACACCGAACTGTGCTCTGTGCTGCAGCCTGAAACAACTGATGAAGTTTTGACTGCCAGTAGGCGTGTGAACGGCACATTAAAAAGATCGGTTGCAGCACCACAATGGACAGGCTAAAGTCGTTACAGGTTTTGTCTTGAATTTCAGTAAAGTGGATCTGGTTTTGCGAATTATGTTCATCACAAATTCCCATAGGAATCAATTTGGCCTCTGTGTGAGCACTTGCAGGATCAGCATGTGCAGTGAAATGTAGCCGCAGGTCTGAAAGATGAAAGCAGCAGGACTTTCTGTGTTTTAGTGAGTCCAAAGCAGATTTGATCTGTCGGCATTTGGGCTCCTAACATCTTCCTAGAGGGCAAACATTTGCCTTTGGGTTGTGCTTTGAACTCTGCTGCACAAAGGAGGCCATTCTGCTGATCTGAAACAAGAGCAATGGGGGTGTAAAATTCTCCTTTGGTTTCAGACCGAAGAACTGTTTTTATTTTATAAAACCCACATTAAGGAAAAATATGTTGCTTTGATACTCTGTTGGTTGAGAACAGCTGAAATGGCAGAGCAGCAGTGGTATTTAGGGGCCCTCAAGCTAAGAAACTCTTGGTAACACTGAACAGTCAACAAGAGTAGTTACTTTAATGCAGCTTGGTTATTTATTGAAAGCTTCCTGTCCTGTTTTCAGAGCACAGCTAGTGAAGGGTATTGAATCACAGAAGAACGTTAATATGTGCTAGAGTTGTATTGTTTGTTAGTTAATCCGGCGTCAGATGTTAATACCTTGTGGAGGGACTGTCCTTGTGCTAACGGCTTGTGCGTTACTAAATCCCAGTTAAACCCAACTCCTCTCTGCATAGTCTCACAAGGCGTTGTCAGTTCTGCGATAGATTGATATTAAAGGGGTGCCGTGTGAGGCTTACCTTCCAACCTTACCTAAAAGCTATACCAATACCATAATTTCCATATATCACACACATCTGGGATTGCATCAGCACCTTCCATATGGGTTGCATGGAGTTTCTAAGGTGTTCTCAGAATTACATAAAGTTCTTTTTCAAGCCCCTTCCCTTTACCAATATGCAGTCGTAGAGTAAGACACTTCTACCAGATAGCTCTGTGAGCATTGAGGTTGTTACCAGCAGGAAGGGCAGGCAGGCATTCACCTCCTCGAAGGAAAAGCCCTGATCTGCCTGAACCCACTGTGCTCCTAACCTATCCGACACCTCTCCCACCCCCATCTTGAGCCTCTCTGGCCTCACCCTTTCCCTTGGTTCAGGGCTTCACTGCCACCGTTGTGGAGCTGTGCTGGTTTCCTCTAGCCCATGGTGTTACTGTGTTTTGGCCTTGTGCTCCTGAGCCTCCCTTGTCCCTCAGGTGCCACGTCTTGGTTTGGGGACTCGCCTCCCCCAGCAGTGATGGGCTGGGCAGGTCGCTGTGCCTCAGTGGAACCCAGGGTCTGGCTCACATCCTGGGGACCTTCTCTCCTGCATTCTTCTCTTGCATCCTCCTTCCCTCTCTTTTCTCCATGTCTGGTAAATCCCAGGAGTCCTGTTTGTTTAAAAGGCCACTCTTGCGGTGCAGAGTGCTTGCAGTGTCTGTACAAATGACTTCTGGGACAGATCAAAGGGCCGTCACCCAGTGTCTGTGACAGTAGCCAGCAGCAATTGTGCAGGGAAGGACGCAGGAGCAAAGCAAGCTCAGATCATTCCCCGGAGGTTTCTGCCAGCCTCTCAGTACCGCAGACACTAAAGGGCACCTACTGTCTCGCCCCCAGGGGTCCAGCTGTCTCTTAAACTCTGGACGGTACCAGACCCTGCACAAGGATTTTCGTTTGTGTTTTAAATATAAGGGGTGGGGAGGATTCAAAAGGAAAGTAGTATTTTATTATTTGTTTATAATAGGAGTTTGCACTTCTACAGAAGAAAATTTGGAGTCACTGCAGGATGGAGATGTGGATTTTAGGGGTTCCCTTTAAAACAGAACTGTCCCTGCTCACTGAAGATAAGGGCGAAACATGAGAGGGATGCTCTGCTTTCAGATTACCTAACAGAAATGACGGGAGTCAGAGCTGTTCACCAAAAATCAGGCTCTGCCAGGGTAGAGCAAAACCGGAGGGCACGCTGACAGCTCCCTTCCTGCGTGGTCGGAACTGGGGGAAGGGAATGAATATTAGTCAAGTGGTGGGATCAGCTGGAGATGCAGTGACACGATTTAGGAGAGTCTGACAATCCTGAATTAAAGGGAAGCTTGTATTTGACAGTGACCCCCTCCTAACTGTTTGTTTGTGTTCAGGGAAGACATGTCACATCTGTAATAACTCAAATGAATATGCTTCATGAAACAGAGCTGTTCCTGCAAGGGAGCATCCAATTAGCATGAGATGTTTGATTTGATTATGCCTCAATATACAAATCTTCTGTGAACCAGTGAAGCTACAGCTGGAGAAGACAATACATATTAAGTCATCCTCCACTGCGTTCAGGACTGCTCCTCGCACTGCTTAGTGTTATATAATGTAATCCAAGGGCTGCTTTCATGTCTCCGGGGAGATTATTACAAATGTTAACAGATTTCCTGCTTAGAAAGGTTTTCCCTAATGTGAAATGTAAAATTAACTTTTACTCATTTAATCCTGTTGGTTCCACAGATCCTGTGCACCCACCACGGATTAAATAAAACCAAAACTCCTTTCCTTCCCACCTCCTCTGCCTTCTGTTTGTTGGTAAACCAGCAGAACTCATTCATTTGGTTTATCTTGTCTCTTAAAGGCATGTCATCATGGGAAGATGTCTAAATCCTTTTTTATTTTACTTTCCAGCAATACCATAGAGAAAGTGAAGTTGTGGGTTTAAAATAATACAGCGATATACAGCATTTAGTCTGTAAAAATATTGTTGGCATTTTATAAAGATCCTTTTGAGCAATGGAGGAACTGGACTTGTACGGAAAGATAAATGGTCAAAAGGCAATACGGAAAGTATTGCAGGTAACCAGAATATGCTGTGCAGGGGTATTGCAGAAACAACCCAGTAATGTTTTTTATATTAAACCTTCATTAATGGGAAAGTTGTAAGTATTAAAGTTTTAAAAATTTGTGCATGTAGAGCTCACATACAGAAATACAACCTTTTTGCTTGATGATACCCCATTTTAATTGTGCATATTTCTCTTTTCCCAAATGTAATTCCAGGTGGTAAGCTTTATCCAGCGTTTACCTGGTTGCAAAGAACAAGCATCTGTGTTCAGGGAAGAGGTAAGTAAGGTCTGCCCAAATCCTGTGCTGTGCCGCTGGCAGGTCCGATGGCAGCTAGGTGGTTTTGTGCCCCATCACTCTGGAGTTACAGTGCAGAGAGCACAGACATGCTCAGACTTGTCATTAAAGAGCCTGTGGCATTTAGGAGGCAGCTACAGAATCGGGCTGAATTCCGGCATGGCTAATTGCATTCTGCTGCTTTAAATTTCCCTTGCCGTTCCAATCGCTGAGCTTATGCTTAACATCCTGTCTTGGACTATTGTGCGGTGGGTTTGGCATCGTTATAAAGATGTCCTGTTGGAATGGTGCAGTGAAGATCTCATCTGCTCCCTCTAACGAGCACATATGCCTCCTTCTCGTGGTGTGGCTGGCACTCGTAGGGTTTCCCAGGAATCGCTGGCTTCCCCCATGGGCTGAGATGAGAGCGGGAGGGGAACCTTTCCTTGAACAAGCAGTGGCTGGGAAATCAGAGCATCTCCTGCATGTGGTGTGTCCTGTCTTCACTGCCATGTGCTGGGCTGGACTCTGTTCCCTGTTTGTGGTGCGTTTGCCATGGCTTCTGAGAAACCGCAGCTAGCGCAGGATATGGCTGTCCTTTCTTAGCACACTTCTTTGCATGGATCGTGGACACTTAGGCTCTGTTGAGTGCTTTGGCTCCCAGTTATGCTGCAGGTATGAGTTGGAGATTCTTGATAAATCTGCACAGACGTACCTCCCCTTCTCTTATCACAGCTCTCCTGCTCTGATTGTAAGAGCTCGAGGGAAGAGGCTGTACTTTCTCTGTTCTGTGCAGCGCTGAGCGCACCCTCTGTACTGAGGAAAAACATTGCACATTGTGGCAACTGTAAAGGACAGGTTTTTAATAGATGACTGCTCCCCAGAGCTGGCTTCCTTTCAGGATGAATCAGTCTGTAGTGCATTTTATGGGATTTATGTATCTGTATTTTGTTTACCCTTGTTTTAAAAAACATGCACACACACAAGATATAAAGCAAAAGAAATGGAGGTTTACAAAAAGCACTCTTCACAATGTAACAATACAGTGGAATAGTGCTTAATTGAATATAGAGGGAGTAATGAAATTTATTCAAATGAACCAATCTTCCGGTGTAGATGAGTGTAAAAGGTGCATCCTGATTTCTGGCGAAGATGTATTCAGAGGTGAGAGTTTGGTAGATAAGATGTAACTAGCAAATCTTCTAATGAATCCAACCATCCACAATGTATTTTATTTCTTCCAGCCATAATTTAAACGGGTCCTGAACACAGTGGCTGCTTTCTGGTTCAGAGAGCGGATAGCCACGTTCTATTTTAATACCTCACTTTCTGCAGCCTCAAAGTATGATTCCCTATGCCAAATGAGAGGGGCTTGGTTTGTTTTGCAGGTTTATGCTCAAACCAAATTGTCAGTTTGAAATTAAAACTCTTTTAGCAGTTTGGCTTTGGCCAGAATTCAGGTGTGAGTGACGGGACTGCAGAACTCCACTCGTGTTGTCCATTAGCTGTAATCAGGCCTTTGAGTGCTTTCTGGTGAGCGTAAATAAACCCCTTGCAGACTTCTCTTGGCGGGGGGGAGTGGGATAAGTTGCTGCTTACATTAGGAACGAAGAGAACAAATTGTGCACGGAATTTTAAAAACCATCCAAATAAGAGGGAACAAAGAAATGAATAATAAAGCGCAGGCACTGATACTGTGTTTGTTTCTAGGTCCAGTTCAGGGAGGGTCTGTTTAAAATAAGCATCTTTGCGGCAATGCAGTCAAAATGAAGCATAGTAATAATATTGGACTCAAAAGCATTTTGAAACGTAGGGCTGTTTTCCAGCAGTTTTTTGCTACTCTTGACTCTATATTATTTAATTTAAGCAGCAGTCCATTTGTTTCAAGCTATTTTTAACATGTTCATTGCAGTAGTGTAGACTCTAGGCAGCTTGCAAATAAGATTTGGGGATGTTGTGTGGACATCTGTGGACTGGGAGCACTGCTGTCATTTCCAGTGTACATACTGGGAGGTTAAGTAACTTGCTAACAGTCTTTTGTGTAGCTAGAGAAGGGAAAAACGAGTCTCCTGGCTCCCAGCTCTTTGCTTTAATTGTGTGTTTGCCCAAGTTTAGTCAATGTATCCTCTTCCACCGGTCGTTGACGTTCAAAAAAAGTTCTAGTCAGGAAGACTACAGAAATAGAAGAATTGTTGTTCTGGATGAGTTGAGTGTCCGGTGTTGTCTGCTGCACTGGTGAACATCAAGTAAGAGGATGAGATGCTGTCAGTCCCTGTAAATGGACTTTAATGGAATAACTTAGGGAGACACATATTGTTTGTCTGTATCCATTAATCTTTGGCTTCTTCCCTGCAGCATTTGGGGTTTATATTAATTATATCTGCGTTGTCTCTGTGGATGTTTTTGTAAACCCAAGTAAATTTTTAACCTCTTCTTAAAATAATGTTATGATTTCACTCGCTGCTACCTAGAGCATCCTGTATTTTCACAAGGTACTATGTTTTTGGCTTGCTCACTTTGAATCCAATCGAATATCTCCTTGCTGATGGATTAGGAGAGTGTATGTGTAAATCCAGACAGATTACGTGCCTTTACTGTGCCTTGGTTTATATAGCACATGGTCTCTTTTACCATGTGCTAAGCAAGCACGCTTAATGTCATTGGAAACAATTTCACAATAGCCTTCTGTTTTTCCTTTAAACAGAGACTTGTCGTCTGTGGGCATAGTACATCCTAGTTGTGAGAGTAGCCAGATGTTCACATCACAGGAATATTTCTCAGCCGACCTGACCAAAAAAAACAGGGAAAAAAAGGGTGTTTGGCTTTAAATTTTACCCTGAACAGCTTAACAGGGGTTGAAGAGTCTATGCAATGACAGTATGTAATGAATGCACTAGGTAACGGTGAATTTCTATTTCTAATCATTGTAGATCAGTGTAATATATTAATTCTTGGATAGCTGCCTCCTGAAGACTCGCATTTTGGATTTCCACTCGCATTTTGGATTTCCTGATCTAATTTCTGGCCACAGATTGTGAATAGGCTGTAGGATTTTTGACAGTTGTTGGCTTTTTAGAGCAATTATAGTGAATATAAAGTCTAATGAACCAGCCTTACCCACACCTGGGCTTCTCTCTTTCTAGAAAAAGGGCTGCTGGGTGAGCCCTGAGACCCTGGGAAAGGGCAGCGTGCCTGGGAACCTGGCAGGGGTGTGGGTGCCAGAACTAGGGAGGATTAGAAAGTTTCAGTCTTCAGAGCTGCGTTTGTACTTTCATTCCTCAGTTCAGAGTGCATTGTTTACTTGAACGACCAGAAGAGAGAATCCTGCCTATCTCTTGGTGGTAATCTTTATCTTATGTTGTATTTCCAACCTCTAGCAGATAGATGGTGAGGCCTTCCTGCTCCTGAACCAGAGCGACATAGTTAAAATACTCAGTATCAAGCTGGGTCCTGCCCTGAAGATCTACAACGCCATTCTCATGTTCAAGTCTGCGGAAGACAACTGAGAAGAGGCCATTGGCAGAGCCCACGAGGAATTGACAGGGAACAGATCCTCGACTGAGAGCATTACAACATGCCAAACAGGCAGATTAGGACTCAGATGTATTTTAAGTAGAATTATTAAAAATATTTTGAGGACATAAAAATCCTGCCACAGTCTGGAATATGGGGCAGCTTCACTTCCAAGAAGAGGATATTATTATATTTTGTAATTGAATTTGGTTTTGATATATCAATCTCTTTTTGAGATCTAGAAGAAACCTCCGGTTATAAGGGGAATCCAGGGTAACATCGGTGGAGCTGCAATAGCAAGAAGAAAGCTATGAGTGAAATGACTGCTGTGTCCAATGATAGTGCCTGAAAGAGAGACTGAGTTATCACCAGCATGTTTAATGTATTCTGTGTGTATAAAAACTGAGAAAGGAGACTAAGAAAATAGGGAAAAGATGCACTTCAGAGCAACCCACTTGTATCCTTCAATGCTGTGATTCAAGAGCTGACCTTTTCAGAACTGGTTTTTAAATTCCACTTTCTCCTGCTGATCCTGGTTGTTCTAATACCTTTGGCTACTGTGCTGTGTACGCCGCAGCAGAAAGGTAGCCTGGGCACAGGGTTTCCATCAGTGGTGACTTGCATCATTTCTGGTAACAAGCAAAATGTTCTCATTCGTGTCACCGGCCAGCGGGAAACAAGCCCTGTGTAGGTAGGTGTTGGGTAGGCAAAAGATGCCTACCCAAAAAAGATGCCATCTCTCATAAAGATGTCTCCCACAGGAGACAAAGGTAAATATTCTAGCTGTAATTCTCCCGTCAGTACTTTTGTGCAACTGCTGTCTGGACAGGAACATCTTACTTCAAAAGGTGCAATCAGGAGCACTTGGGAATTTGATGGGTTCATTCTTGTCGTCTCCATTGTCAGCCAAATGCTAGGAGTATGCGTTGGAAACCCAGCAGTGGCCAGCACATGAGTACAGATGCAAACAGATTTCCTAGAAACAATTTGCTTTTGGTTTTGAACGACTGAAACTCACGAAGGCTTAGTGCTTTAGCCTTTTCAGCCTCCAGGTGGACTTCGGTCTGTTCTACCAAAGAGTTGGTGTGCTGTAGCAGCAGGGCACCGGCTCCTCTGCCTCTCTAGTCATGAGGCGGGCAGAGCACACGGGGAAGTTTGACTGGAGGGGAATCAGGGTTTGAACAGACAGCAAAATGCGGTAGGAATTACTTCTCAAAAGAGAGAGCTAATCTGCGTCAGGGAGGAAGCAAAGCTTGTGGCTGTGTTCCTGTGCATGCAATCTGTGCTCTCCTGGCAGGAGGGGAGCACGAGCATTTCCTGCTCTGCTCAGAGTCAGAGCATAGTTTTAGGACCGTGCACCCCAAACTGCAGTATCCTGGATGGGGGATTTCCACACCGTTACTCCCAGAGCCTCTTACGATGGAAGCCCTGGGAGAAGTGGTGGGCCGTGCTGGGGCTCTGCTCAGCGTTTCCATTCATGCCTGGCAGCGTGCTGGCTCCTGACTCTTCCTCTGGTCACTCTCCCTGATGGATATTGGCTGTTCTGGGGTTTAGCTAGAACCATCTTAGCTAGGGAAGCCTTTTCACCCCGTCATGCAAAGCTGCCAGGATGAATCCTGTGTGCATGAACCCCCTCCGAGCTCTCTCAGTGCGTACGCGGTGTTGCCGAAGGCAGGGGGTGCCATCGACCTCTGCCCAGGGTTGCATGAATTTCTCAGGGCATTGCATGATGAGATGTGATCCGTCCGCAGGCACCTCAGACCCCCTTCTGTACCTGGCATCTTTGTCACCAGTGTTGTTGCCTTAGTCCCAGCCCTGCAGCTTCTCCAAGAGCCATCGGGAACTGAGAACGAACACGCTGTCCGTGACCGTGTGGTGTCACAAGGAACATGCTGGGTCTTCCTTCCCCAATCACTCCATGTCCTTTCTCCGGCCTTCCAGCTGCTGAGAACGTCCTTGTGACTTGTCTTAAGTGGTAAATTCCTTAAAGGTGTAAATAGAGCAGAATCCACACCGCTGAAGCCATTCAGTCCTGGATTAATATAAAGAGCAATTTGTCTCCATACTGTCTATTTTTATATAAGATGTTAAGAAGTTTAAGCCTTCAACAGAGAAGACATAGGGGTGGTGGGATATTTAATAGCTGAAACATTAAATATCAGCCAGGCAACTGCAGGAGAGTAATTTAATGCAGTGTTAAGGACTAGACAAGATATGAATTTAATTTATTAAAATTCATTTTTAGTATGATAACCAGGATATTCACCAAAGAGTCACGTTGCTTTATCCCACTCTGCGCATCCCGCGTCACTGTAAAGACTTGAATTGTAAGTGGCATGTCCTGGACTGTGACACAACTCGCCTTCTAGGCACAGCAAAATTGTTTCCTGACAACTGGAGCAGAGGATCCGTAGCTGGACTGTTTTCATTCCTGGCTCTCCACCGACTTGCTAAATAACCCTGAGCTCTTCTTTGCTCCGGTGTCCCCCCTCTGTGACACCCAGCCAGGTGGGGTGAGTGCAGTTTGGACTTGTTCTTGTTTCCAGCAAGCACGTCCTGCCGGATTTTCTGTTTTACCTCCTTCCTTTGGGGGACTGTGTTGGGGGACAGCAGATTGCCTCCAGCAATAAAACAAAGTATAATATTATTTTCTCTCTCTTACTATATATAGATAGAGGATGGAGAGAAGCGGTGAAACAAGCAATGAGGTTCTAGTCATTGAAATTATTCAAACAGAAGAGAAATCTTTAATCCTAGGGGCTTCCAAGCCAGCTGGATCAAAGATGAAAATGTGTACTTGGAGTTTGTTCAGTGACAGCAAGGGTAGTGCTTTCAGCAAGGAGGAAGGAGGAACCCTTTTAGGGATAGAAGGAGGAGGAATGTGCTTCTTGTGCCTTTTTTTGTAATCCGATAATTGTCTTTGCAGAGCGAGCAAGAATGTGCACACATATATTACTGACTCCTTTTCCAAATATAGCTATATTCTAATAAAATCAAGCAACTTCCCAATAACGCGAGGGCAAAAAGATTTGCAGTGTCTTCACTGGACACGTTTAAAATTCCCTGATATTCACAAGACTAAAAAAAACCCCAAACCAGCTCATCTTTTAGCCCCATAACTTGGGAGTTGGTTGGTTGCTGATGCGGTTCCGCTTGCGCCGGGGAGCCGCGCTTCCACATGCGGCTCCGTGACTTGTTCCCGCTGCCAGACTCTGCCCGTACAAACTCGGCTCTGCCTCTTCCCGGGCCCGATGGAGGCCTGTGTCAGGGCGAGGGGTCTGCAGATGCCTTTGATTGTCTTGATGCCTTGTTGTCTAATTTGAAACATTGCACTTTGAAGCAGAATGCCAAAAGTTGGAGCTCTGTGGTGAACAAAGCTGGAACTGGTTAATGCCACCTGGGTTTTGGAGGCTTTCGTTGCCTGCTTGATGTCAGCAGAAACCAGCTGTTGGCCCAACTGAACCCAGAACTCACTCAGAAATATCAATATATTACTTAGAAGCAACCCAGAGCTGTGACAGCTTCCCATGGGCCAGCAGCGCAGTTGGGAAGTTTCAGTTCTCAGTTAAAATGGATCTTACTCCTGGATATGTTTTTGTTCCTTTACCTCTGTTTTTGAAAGCCAGAGCAATCAAATTTCTCTCTTTTTCTCCTTGCTAGAGAGTCCCGTTAAAATTCTTCTGTGCCGTCACCAGCGATCATCCTTGTAATCCAGGAGCAGCAAATTTCTGCTCTGGGTGATGAATCGCATTAAAGTTGGACAGAAGCGTTCCCCCAGCACTGATAGCAAAACTCTACAACCAAAGGGGGGGAAAAAAAAAAAGCAAACCAACATTCAGCCGAAGGGATAAGCTAGTTCAGCTGTAGAAGATTTCCTGCCTGCTACTTTCATGCCCTGCTTAGGGATTTATACCACAGAAAGCTTTAAAGTTTTTGACATCCTCTCCATCATGTGATGAGCCAGCTTATTTTTAAAATTCCTGTTACTTGAACTGGAAGCACGTGCAGGGGAAGGGAGCGTGCGTCCGTGCTCTGGGTTCAGCCTCCGAAATGTTTGCCTGGTTTAAACCAAAACAAATACTTGAGCTTTTTGACACTAGCTGTGACGTTGCACTCCACTGATGCTTTTCTTCTGGAAATGTGAATAAAATTAATATAAGTTCAAACCGGGCTCGTTCTTTCCGTGTTTGGGTCCGACCCCGGCACGTGCTGGCGGGGCGGCTGGGCTTGTGACCGGGGTGAGCTGGGCACCGCCGAGCTCCTTGGCTTTCTCCCCTTGTTTTCCTCCCCCCCCCCCCCCCCGAAACCTGGCAATCAAAACGCAGGCAGCATTTTCATCTTTTATCTTTTTCCATCAGGCGGAGCAAAGCTGTATATTGGAGCTCTCCTTGGTTTGTACGCAGGACAGCATGAGCCTTGGCCGGCATCGTCCGCTGGGGCAGTGCCCGACCCCCCCGACCCCCGCTGTCCCCTACTGCTGACAGAGCGTGTTAACCACTCCTGGTTTCCTCTTGCAGACCATCCCAGGACTCCACCGTCTTCCTAAAGCACCTTCCAAATTTGAGTGTTTAACTAAATCTAGCAAGAACTTGTTATCAGGATGAATCAATGTTAAAACTCTGTATTTTGGGGTCTTTGTGTCCCGTTTTACCTTCCTTAATGCCCTGTAGGGCTTCTCCACTGTGTCCCCCATAAGAATTCTAGTTAACTCACCTGGGTATTTGTTTCTGCTCAAATTGTAATTAGCTGATAAATTACAAAACGCTGTGCGCTGTGCCCTCGCCTGGTTTTCCCCCAAAATGAGGGGGGGGGAAGCTTTCCCCCTGCTCCTCGCAGGGGGGGTTGAGGGACCCGGAGGCTGACACCGCACCTGCAGCGCTGTGTGGTACAGATTCTCTTTGGCGGCGGA